CCGGAGACATCCAAGTCTCTGTGATACACAGAAAGTCTAACTCGAGCTCTTAGTAGTCCCTGAGGATAAAAGTTTTGTTGGTAACAGATCTTGCGTTGACCAAACACATCCGGATACTATCCAAAGTGGAGCTAGCAGCAGTGGAGTTAGCGCGTGCTAATGGCCGCAGATTTTCAATAACAGCTCCTCCAGGTCGGCCTGAGCGGTGCACTGGCTGACAACTCCCGTTGGTTACCTGGTCCGGGCACACGGGAAGCTGGCGATGGAGACCATGACCACCGACTGAAGAGGAAGATGTAGTGCGCAGGGCATGGTGGTGAGGAGCCCAACGGAGGTAAACTGGCACGTCCGTCAGCGGGGGGGAGGAGGGGGGGTCCAGAGGTACGCTGATAATGGCCCAAATAAGCGACATCAGTGACAGAAAAACGAAGATCTAGAAGCTGTTGTCGGTCATACATGAGGAGTGAATTTATGCCACAGATAAAAAACGAACAAAACAGAGATAATCCGAACACCATCAGCAGAGGTGGATTGCAAGCCATGCACACGGGCGCCATCTTACCTTAATTAAAAATTAAGTTGTTTTTACACCTGATAGTCCGGTAGACTCGGTTCAGTTGGGGACCAATATTCATAACATTTTGTTTACATTTGAGCTGGTGCGTTTGCATTCACACTGCACTGTGCAGTCGAGCCAACCTGTTGAACCAACCTGTTGAACCAACCTGTTGAACCAACCTGTTCCCCCACTCTCCTGTGGTGGCGCTGCACCAAGAACTACTAAAAAAAACGACAAAAACCTCTGAAGAAGACACTTCTTCTTCTTCTGGAAATAAAAACAAAAACGGAGTGGAATCAAGTTTTATCAGTTTTAGGAGTTATATTTTGTCATTTTTCAACAATGGACTCAGCATGAGCAGAAGATGAGGCAGAAGACCACGGATAATGTTGTTTTTCACACAAGGCAGCTGACAGCTCCATATAAGGTAAGAGAAATGTGTGTTTGTTTGCCCTGCGTTGTACTCCACTTCTTGCTTGTGGAGCGGGGCCTGGTCTGATTACATTCACACTGTACTCGAACCACACTGGAGTTCTCTTCTACCAGACCGAGACCTAGGTTTTAGCCCGGGCCAGAGTTTGCCTTTTTTGTTCCATGACAGAGTTTGATGGCGCGTTCACACCTCCCCAAACGAACCAGACTTCCTAGGAAAACGAGATAGAGTTCGATTAAAGTGGACTAAACAGGGCTGGTGTGTATGCACCCTTAAGCCTCTCCGGTCAATTCTCATCTTTTTTAGTCTGGAGGAAGCTCTCGATCTGTGAAGTGCTAAGGAGCAGTGAAGAGGAGCAGGAGCAGCTGATTGAAAGAAAACCGGAGCCTACATTGGAGTTCGCTGGGCTTCCATCTAGGGCTGCAACAACGAATCGATAAAATTGATAAAAAACGATTATTAAAAGTGTTAGCAATGAATTTCATTATTGATTTGTTGTGTGTCGCAATTAAGCGTCTTTCATGGCGCTGCAAAGCCGTTTTGTTCACCTGCAGTTCATTGTCAATGCTGACTAAATAAAGTTAGGGAAAAAAAACTCTGCAGTGCGAGTTGAACAGAGCGAGGGGGAGGCGGAAGCAGTGCAGAGGCTGTTTTCAAAGGAAATTAAGTACATTTTACAAATGACCGACGTAGAGAAAACTGTTCGACCCAAGTCCTACAAAGTGTGGGAGCACTTCACAAAGATGAAAAACTGTACAACATGCAGCTTTGAAAAGTGACGACACGACACGGGAGAACCACGTTGATGAAACGTAAACATGTCGGAGTCACGAGGAGGAGGAAGGAGCAGCAGATACAACATGTCTCACTCCCAACTCATGTTGGCAGGTGAGTCTCTACAATATTCTGTGTTTGTTCTGTTTCCAAGTGAGAAAACGTAACATCAGTCTCTGGTAGCTGAAGCTGCTGCTTGTTTGTTTGCTGATTAATGACAGTGATAGAGAACGTGTGTTACTTTTTATTTTATTTAATTGGTATAAGCAGTGTTTAAATGTGATTTATAAATAAATCTAACACAAATATAATAATTTAATGATTAAGCTTCAACTTTTAATTTGCTGGCAAAGTCTGAAGACACTGCAGGTATGGCAGGATGAATTGCATTTAAACAGGAATTAAAGTAATTTATTACATCTACTCAAATGTGTGCAATTACGTATTTTATATGTGTGTGTGTGTGTGTGTGTGTGTGTGTGTGTGTGTTTAATTGCTCTTTTAGCTACTTTTGCCTGAAACTAACACTGTAAGTCAAGGCATTTCTTGAGTTGCTGTAAATTATGCTATAATACATATTTACTCTCTCATTCCAGAAAACAACAACAAACAACAACAGCCTTCATGATGGACAGACATCATGGACACCACAGCAGCAGCTGTCTTCACTGATAACATCCTTAAATGATCGTCGCTGACAAAAGGCCTCTGTCGATGGTTGAAGACGAAGGCTTCACTACAATAATCCACACTTTTAATCCAGGTTACAATAATCCACACTTTTAATCCAGGTTACACTCTTCCCTCAAGGACACATTTTACAAAGTAGCTACATGTGCATATATATATATATTTGTGTACATGTTTTTTATTGAAGCTACTTGACAAACATTTATTTTTTATTATTCAATATTTTTGCTGACAGAATAGTCAAGTAGCAACCTGTTTTTTATGCGATTTGCTATGTCGGTCAAATTTTGGAATAAAGAGGTGGAAATTAAAACATTTGGGGGGTTTTGCCAATTCATCGATTAACCGGGAAAATAATTGGCCGATTAATTGATTGTTGAAAGAATCGTTAGTTGCAGCCCTACTTCCATCTAAAACTCACCTGAATAATAACTTAGATCCATGTGGGTCCTCCGGTTTATAATGGGTCAGCTGAAGGTTTTGTTCCTGGATCACGCCTTTGTCCTGTTTACCTGAACCAAGTCAGGACCATGCTTTGCTATTTGTTGTGAATTATCAGCTTCTGCCTGTTGGTACCGAAGCCAGTATCTGTTCATCATGAGAGCAGCTGCAGCAGCTGCAGCTGGAACGATTCATCTTCACAGGGGTGCTCCCCTCAGCCCAATTCATACTCCAGTTGGATCACAAGGTCAGACCCATCGGCCCACTTGATCTATGAAGCTGTCTGCTATGAGACTTTTCTGCATCAGTCACAATATTTCCATCATTTACAGAGCTCTGATTATCTGGAGTCACTGAACATTGTTGACACATCTGGATCTGCCTCTCGCTGCAGTCTTCATTGTTTCTGGGTTCTGGGTAATCATGTCTTATCATTTCTCATGGTTCGATTATGGGGGCTAATTGTCACACTGTTAACTCCTGTAATTACACATCTGTCACAAAAAACACAAGAAATTGTCTGATAATAATGTTGTTACTGCTTTCAGGGATTCAGCCCAACCCTGGATCCCCCATTCATTACAGCACACCAAATGATTTTAAAAATATGTCAGGACTTCATTTTCTGCATGTAAACACACATAGCCTTTAGAGAAAAGACACTTTGAAAATACTGGTCAGTTCCTCTGGGGCTGATGTAATCTTCATTTCTGAATCCTGGTTAAACAAATCTGTCTTGAATAATGACCTGGGAATCAATGGACTTAATGCCAAATGCCTGAACCACTTCAACTGTCTCCTCTCGATGTGGAGAAGTGGTTCTACTCCAAGTCTCTCCCAGATAACTGAACTTCTCACCCGATCTCTAAGGAAGAGTCCAGCTACCCATAGGGGTTGAACAAGTATATAATTTTTAAACTCGACATTAACATAATAAAACCCGAGTAGAACTCGAGTATTTGATGACGTCATAGATCTCAAGATACAAAAATAAATAAATAAATAAAACTGCAAAAAAAGGTAATTATTTACAAAAAAAAAGACCAACAAAACATTGGGAGCGTATATTATGTTCCTACCATTTATCATACTGCAAATAAATCACAGGAAAAACTAAACTATTAGTTATTATTATTAAACTGCAAACGTGAAGAAAATGCAGCACGTCAAAAACGAAACTTAACCGAAACTGGTTCGGTGGATTGGACCCGGTGTTACACCATACTCTGTGACCTGCAACAGTGCAACACCGCCCCCTATGGTCATATGGTGGTCACATAATATGACATCACTACGAATACTCGACATAACATTTTTAACCTCGATACATGTCCTAGCAATCGATGTGTAGATTACTCGAGAAATCTGTTAATGCCCTAGCTACCCTGCAAATGAAACTCATTTAAACCGCTTGTATCTGCAATATCATTCTTTCGGTCACTACCCAAAGTTCGTGACCATAGGTGAGGGTAGGATCATAGACCGACTGGTAAACAGAGAGCTTTGCCTTACAGCTCAGCTCCCTCTTCACTGCAATGGACCAGCACAGAGTCTGGAATCCTGCAGGCACTGCACCAATCCATCTGTCAATCTTACGCTCCATTTTTCCCTCACTCATGGACAAAACTCAGAGATACTTGAACTCCTTCACTTGAGGTAGAACCTCAAACTCGACTCAAAGAGAGCAATCCACCATTTTCTGACTGAGGACCATGGCTTCAGATTTGGAGGTGCTGATTCTCCTTCCAGCCACTTCACACTCGGCTGTGAACTGCTCCAGTGAGAGCTGAAGATCACGGCATGATGATGCCAACAGGACCACATCATCTGCAAAGAGCAGAGATGGAATCCTGAGGCCACCAAACCAGAATCCCTCCACCCCCTGGCTGTACTGAGAACTTCTGTCCACAAAAGTTATGAACAGAATCGTGACAACGAGCAGCCCTGTCAGAGTCCAACTCCCACACTGAAGAGGGCCAACTTACTAACGGCAATGCAAAAAATCAGTTTGTAAAGATGTTTTCCATCTATTAAATTCAAACTAATCCTAACATTATTTTCACCTCTACTTGGAAAAAGGAAGATGAGTTGTTGGGAACTCACCTTCACACTGTTTTCCATCTCCAGAATAGCCAGGCTTGCATATGCAGTTGTAGGAGTTTGGTGTGTTCTGACAGAGGGCATCAATATGGCAGTCGTCTGAACCCTCTGCGCACTCATCTAAATCTTCACAAACAGAAAATACAAACAGTGAGAATCAAGACACTGAGGAGTCAGTGTGCACATACTTTTTCATAACATCACAGCAACGGGGTTGACTTGGTATCATATTAGCATTAACATTCTTTGAATGAATGCATATCGCCCACCACCTTTCATGCCTATGTTTTAGATGGAGATCTTGGGTTGAGAAATGGCAGAGTTGTAGCTGATTTGGTCAAACCTGAAAAATAATGTGTGCAGTCTCTTGCACTGTCAGCTACTAACACATCATTTTTTAGAACAATAATTATAAAACTCACTAGAGCAAGAAACCTAATCCCCAATTGCTCCCCGAGTGCTTACATAGCTGCCCGTTGCTCCATCTGAGTGTATCTCATGTGTAATGGGTTAAATGGAGAGAACTAATTTCGCCATCATATGGAAATATATAGTGATGACAATCTCAGACTTTCCATCCCTAAAATATGGCCATTTTTGTAAGCCAAAGTCAATAGGCTGAGGCACTCATGATGAAATATATTGACTCCAAATGTTAATCAGTTGCAGAAGCATATACAGTAGTCCGTCGTTTATCGTGGGGTATGCGTACCCAGAATCCCCGCAATAAGTAGAAAACCACAAAGTAGGAAAAGAAGAAGAAGTAGTAAGTAGT